AATGGTTATGTCTACAACACTAACGTTGTCACGTTATCGTAGTGAATACATTAATGGTTATGTCTACAATACTAACGTTGTCACGTTATCGTAGTTCAGACATTAATGGTCACGTCTACAACACTAACGTTGCCACGTTATCGTAGTCCAGACATTAATGGTTATGTCTACAATACTAACGTTGTCACGTTATCATAGTCCAGACATTAATGGTCACGTCTACAATACTAACGTTGCCACGTTATCGTAGTCCAGACATTAATGGTCACGTCTACAACACTAACGTTGCCACGTTATCGTAGTGAAGACATTAATGGTTATGTCTACAATATTAACGTTGTCACGTTATTGTAGTCCAGACATTAATGGTCACGTCTACAACACTAACGTTGCCACGTTATCGTAATTTATATTTAGAAATTTTGCTGTTTACGAATAATTTTTCCTAAATTAGTTTCTGTGCTTCGAACATCTTTGCTTGAATGTTATTGATTTTCATGTGTTTCGTCAAGTTTCTGGTAGTTAGTTCTTAGGGAACTTCAGAAAAAGAAAAATAACAACTGAAAACCATGTTTCTAAATTTAGCAAAGATAAACGACTTTATCTCGCGCCGTGCACGTACTACTTCGAAAAATCGTTTTCTCCTCGCGATGAATACATCAACAAATTATTAAGTTTTCTACTCCACTCTAAAGTGCAGGTCATTATTAATGGATAAAGAAAAAAAATGAATTCGTTTTCATGTCAGAGAAGTTGGAGAATAATCATGAAACCATGGTTACTGCATCTAAAAACGAAAAGCACAACAATCACTTGGAGGAAAATGCACAGTAAATGTTATGTGTAAAGAAGAAAAAAAAACAAAAAAAAAACGCTGTGTTGTGTACAAGTTTGTGATTGTCAGAAATAATGATTTATTATCAACAGCTTGTCAAAGGTACAAGAGAAAAATAAAACGGAAAACATGGAGCAGAAACACAAGTATATCAATAAAATCACAGTTTTAACTACAAAATTTTAATAAACTCGTGCCTTAAGGTATAATCTCCGGATTCAGTTATTATCTGACCACTTTTGTAAAATCCCTTTTAACTGCAAAATCTTAACACATTAACGAGACGAGTGACGTTTTGATACATTCCCAAATGCTGTAAAATAGAAGTTTCAAAATAACTTTTATCTGTACAATTTTGTAATCGTTTTTACCTGGTGTGTATATATATATCACAAATGTTTTGAAATTAATTTAAAAAGTACGGTATTCGATTGAAATAGTAAGTTGTATAATTTTCCCATTTCCTATACTAAGTGATCAGAGCTTTTCGACTTTCTATATCAATTTCACTCTCAGGTGAACAGTTCTTAATAACTACCGAGATTCAACCAGACAACAAGAGGTGTATCTTGGGTTAACTTGTATGAATAACTACCGAGATTCTACCAGTCAACAAGAGGCGTATCTTGGGTTAACTTGTATTAATAACTACCGAGATTCAACCAGACAACAAGAGGTGTATCTTGGGTTAACTTGTATTAATAACTACCGAGATTCAACCAGACAACAAGAGGTGTATCTTGGGTCAAGTTGTATTAATAACTACCGAGATTCAACCAGACAACAAGAGGTGTATCTTGGGTTAACTTGTATTAATAACTACCGAGATTCAACCAGACAACAAGAGGCGTATCTTAGGTCAAGTTGTATTAATAACTACCGAGATTCAACCAGACAACAAGAGGTGTATCTTGGGTTAACTTGTATTAATAACTACCGAGATT